CCTCATCGTGAATCTAATTTAATATCATAGAGCTAAAATTATGGCCTTTTTCCTCTCCCACTTATAGAAAGTACTACGCAGGGCTGGTTCAAAGTGATGCAGAATTCCATGGCTCACCTATGTAGAGATTACTTTTCACAAAAGAACATTAATAACTAATTCCTTTATGTACTTTTCCAAAGCTCAGATAAGCAGCCATTCTAGCCCATGGTTAAGAACTATTTCTGTTTCCTGCTCTTACTCTTTACCAATTTCTGGAATCAGTCTGCCATGAACAGCCCATGGACAGGGGGAGGGAAGTGTCAAATTTCTAGATTAGTCACAGAGAGACTAAGGATTAGATAGGACTGGACTAGATAAGTGAGCCCAAAACTATATGACTTCTTTTTTTTTTGTTTTGGTTTGGTTTTTGTCAGCAGTGGGGCCTGAACTCTGAGCCTGGGTGCTGTCCCTCAGCTCTTCAGCTCAAGGCTAGCACTCTACCACTTGAGCCACCTTCCCAGCCCCACTATATGACTTCTTACAGACAGGTAGGAGGGCTGGGCCTTGGTGGGGACAGTAAGAACACCCAGAAGGTTGTTAGAAAATTAACACTGCCAGGAAGGTTCCCTAGCATCCTCTGGGGCTTTAAGTCAGCTGGTAGCTCACTGGAAAGTAGATAAGGGGTCCTTTACTTGGAGAAGACACTGTCTGGGCATACATACACACACATACATGTGCACATACACACACACCCCACTTCTCTATCTTCAGCAACTAGACCCCATTAATCAGACCCCAATACCTAAGCAAGAAGCTTCTAGATCAACTCTTACACCTCTGCAACTTGTGTGTGTGTACCAGTACTAAGGCATGAACTCAGGGTTTGGGTGTTGTCACTTAGCTCCTTCCGCTCAAGGGTGGCATTCTACCACTTGAGCTACACCTCTTCTTCCAGCTTTTTGGTGGTTCACTGAAGAGTATCAGACTTTCTTGCCTGGTCTGGCTTTGAATCATGATCCTCTGATCTCAGTCGCCTGAGTAGATATGATTACAGGCGTGAGCTCTGGCACTTGGCTTCTTTTAATACTAGAGCAAAGATTTGCACCAAGGATCAGGGAAACCGTTACAACAACCTGGCTGGAGAATCAGAGTCACCAATGGCAAACAAAGATCTACCATGAAGTGAATTCTGATCCCATACACACAAATTGTCTATTTAGTTCCTTTGATGGACTAACTTTGGGCATTTCAACCTCACACTGTGAAAAGGTTGTCGACAGCTAACACTAAGAGAAGCAAGGGCTGAGTCACAAGTCTTTGTGGGCACTAATGGCCCATGCCATCGTCATGCTAGCTACTCAGGAGGCTGAGAGCTGGAAGATCACAGTTCAAGGCCAGCCTGAGCAGAAAAGTCCATGTGATTCCATCTCAGAGAGATTCCTGTGCAGATTGACACTGAAAGGCAGACACCTTGCCAATCTTGTGGGGCCCCCCTCCCCTCCCCCTCTTTTACCTCGAAACCAGGTGGAGCTTTCATCCACATGACCAAAGATATGATCCACAAATGTAGTTGTGTTTCTAGCAAATTTGAGGGCAAAGTATATGTTTGAGATGTAGTAAAACTGAGTACAAGGTGACCAGTTATGCGTGTGTGTGAGTCCTAGGGCTTAAACTCACAACCTGAGCACTATCCCTATGCAATTATACTCAAGGCTGATACTCTACCACTTGAGCCACAGCTCTACTTCCTGATTTTTGGTAGTTAATTGTATATAAGAGTCTCAGACTTTCCTGCTTAGGCTGGCTTCAAACTGTGATCCTCAGATCTCAGCCTTTTGAGTAGCTAGGATTATAGGCATGAGCCACCAGTAAATAACAGACAGTATTTTGATGATGATGTTGCTTTTCTTGGGGGGAGGGGGATTTTTGGAGTCACAATGTCAGTGTACAGCCCAGGCTGGTCTCAAATTGGCCATCTTCTTGCCTAGAGTTGCTAGGATTATGGGAGTGTGCCACCTTACCCAGCTTAACTGGTGTTTTTAGTTACAAAACATATTTTTCTGTCTTATCTCTTCCTGGTTTTGCAACTCAACTCTCAAACACTGGAAACCAGAATTGTTTATGGGTTACCTTGGGCTGTCAACCAAAAAGCACAAAAATAAGCCAGGTATGGTGGTTCACATCTGTAATACTAGCTACTCAAAAGAGTGAGGTATAAAGGATCCCTGGGCAGGAGAGTCCCTGAGACTTATCTCCAATTAACCACCAAAAATCAGGCAGTGGAGTTGTAGCTCAAGTGGTAGATTACCAGCCCTGAGGCATATTGCTAAGGGATAATATCCAGGCCCTGAGTTCAAGCCCCAGTAGCATCACATGTGTGTGTGCGCGAGCGCGTGTGTGCACACGTGTGCACACACACAGAGCTTGCAATGTCTCTGCAATCCATACCTGCATGTCCTTGCACAGATAAGATTTGGTGCAGGTTCCATGAAAGGAATCTAGTTCTTCCTGCCTCCTTCCAGCATTTCAATCCATCTCCACACACAAATCAACTCTCAGCCATAACCTTTAACTACAGGCTCTTACCAGCAAGTTCTAGATAGCAGCAGAGACAACCACCATGTGTCAATCACCATCATTTTTCACCAGCCTGAATAACTGTACCTCACACTATACCTGGAATCACCAAAATCAATTTGATTTAAATAGATTTACACTCTAGGCACTAGTAGTTCATGCCTGTAATCCCAGCTACTCAGGAAGCTAAGGTCTGAGGATTATGGTTCAAAGCTAGTGCAAGCAGACAAGTCTGTAAGAGACACTTAGCTCCAATTAACCATCAAAAGACAGAAGTGGAGCTATTACTCA